TCTAATAAAGCCCCCATCATAATTAACCTTTTGAGTTAGACGGGGCATGGTTGACGTGTCCCTAGCTTTCCGCTGTCCATCTAGATTTAGCTGCGCGCGACGGAGTAGTGGACACCATCGCCTGCGCGGAAAAAGCGAGGGTGGTGTCATACGTCTGGCCGCGGATCAAGGGGAAGTGGGTGTTTTCTATAAAGGAACATCAGTCCAGCCCTTCCTGTTGAGAAAATAATGGGATAAGTCTCAGACAAGCACCAAGTCCTTACTGCAAGACCCTGTCAGCCAGAAATCCCCCCCCCCTCTCTGACTCTTCATGCAAATTGAAGCTCGAGTTGGTATTAAAAGGATTTAGCGGTTGGTAGGTTTTTCAGACATCTTCTGCATGAAAGAGGGAGTCTGATTGCTCTGTGACACGAGGGTGAGTTTGCTGAATCATTCAGCTCTTATGTTTTCAAGTGCTGTAATTTGAAGGATTAGGATTTCCATTCATTTGATTTGTTTCTCTTGATATTCCAATGTACTGGAGCGTTAATCTAACCTAGTATTTTCTGTCCCTGATTGGGGGATATAGAAACTTATCAGAAACAGTTGAAGTAGACAGTGCAAGTACAATTTTGGCATCAGACTGTTAGATGAAGTAAGCTCGGGTATCCTGTTAATCATCATGTTTATCTGAACGGCACTGTTCACCTCTGGCAGCCAACTGTACTGTAATTAGCTGATGCCTTGCCTGGGTCCTGTGGTTAAGCAGTAAACACGTCTGTTTACTGAGTGCAGGGGCTGATATCAATCCCAGACACTAACACACTCCCTTGACGCGCTCATAAAAAAACGGACCAAATGATGGAAAAGGTACATCTGTTCTGTCTTAGGAAACGGGCCACCGATCAGGAGGAAAGCCTATATCACGAGCAGGGGCCATTTGGGTCACCGTGGTTTAGCTAAGGCTATTATGATATGGGGCACACCTTTCTGCTGACTGTGTGAAACGCTTCTCGCGTTGCCTCCGAACAGTAGCTTAGCGCTGCTATAGCCTCTGCTGAGCTCACTCACCCGTCCTTATCGCTAATGGCACTTGATAATATTGAACTGGAGGAGCCGTAGCTTATGCCAAAGACAATTTCATAAGCATCACAGCATCCATAGTATTAAATGCGAATTAGGCTGCAGGGTATAGCCCGGCTCTGATCCCCTCTGGAAGCTGCAAAGGAACAGTTTCGCAAGGCGACGCGCTGGCGATGTCACACCGAAAGCAAGGTTAGGGTTGTTAGGGATAGAGGACATTTTGATAAAACCTGCGCTATAAGCCTCACTCATTTTCCATTACTCACTGGAAACTGAACATTTTCCTCTTTCCCCCCTCCACAACGAGGCCCTCTCTCCACAGCCTTGAAAAACATTGACCACTTGTTCCTCTTGGCCATGCAAATGACCATAGAACGCTGCTCTGCCAGCATAAAATGGTAATAAATGGAAATGCAGCCACTCAGGTACCCAGCTCTCGCGCTCGCCTGTCTCACTCGTTTGTATGGCAACACCTGGCTGATGCCACAGTAAATGTTGTCACAAGGCTCACGACCAGTGGAAACCAGGTAGCTTATCATCTCTGCTGAACAAACACAAGCAGCTAAGATAAACTGCAGCGCACAGCCAGAGCGCACAGATACCAGACTAATGGGTTACATACGTGGTATTCAGAGGTCAAGCCAATGACTTTCACTCGAGACGCCCCGGTCCCGCTGACTCTCATTCAATTAAGCAGACTGACCAAGATAATGCCCCTGCCAGCTGGCCTTAGTAAGCGTCGGTAATCCATAAAGTCTAGTACTGTGGTGCTTTTCTTCACATCTCTGCCCTGCTTTATCAGGTCACCCTGTCTGACTGTTTGTACTGAGGACACAGAGGGGACAAAGCCTTCTCGCAGGGACTCAGGAACTTAAGATAAAACGGATGTAAACAGAGGTGCAGGACTGGGCTCTGCAGACTTTATTTAAAATGTGGTCCAACCTCTCACATTTTGCCCCTGGTAGAAAAAAGTTGTACAGGAGGGCTAATCTCTGAGGTCAAAACACTGGCTGCTGTGTGGTCCCTTCCTACCTGCTGACCATCTGTCCTTCACTCCCCTTACATCAATAGTATTGTGCTTGACGCGCGGCCGCCGAAGCCCGGCGTTAACTCAGCCAGGCTGCGTGTTCTGTAGGTGTAATGCACCAGCAGAAGCTAACTTAGCCTAAGCCAGGCCAGAGGCACGGCGTCCAAGAAAACGTCAAACCAGACAAAACCAAAACTGCGTGCACTGCCTCTGACCTCAGCCGGAGCAATTTTCTTTTTGCTCTTACGATCGGATGTTTTTATACGACAGAGGTCGCAGTTTTCCCGCTAGTTTGCCTTCGATTAGGGGCTTTGGTACGTTTTTAAAGCGTAAGAGGGCTCAGTCGTCTCTGCAAAAGAGAGGCTAACTGAAGGAAACGTCATAATATGTGATGATATCATATTATTAGTAAAGGTCGAATTGACTCTTAAAGTTGTAACTGGCTACTTTTCTATTTAAACAGTGTCTAACCCTCGCTTCACCCTCCCCTCCCACAAAGGAGAGACTCAAGAAAAAACGCAAACGGCCTTTTGAGACAGTGTTTGGATTGTCCGTTCTGGGCTACTGTAGAAGCATGGCGGTTAAACATGGTGGCCTCCTTTAAAGGTAATTTGTGGCATCAATGTCAATGCAGATTTTGGACATAATGACAAACAGTTGCTTGAGCAGTTAAATTCCCCTGGCACATTGCACAAACACACAGTGGGCTCCACAGTATGGGAACAGATATGCGGTCATGTTCCTGCATGATTTTTATCGTACCATCGCCTACATGAGGGTCCCTCTGATCTTCAGTCCGCACCATTTGTTTTGAATATCTTTCATGACAAACATTGTTTGCATGTTGCCCCGTTGAGTCCCACGTGAGCTCTCCAGATGACCTTAAACAATCCTTATCCACACTGTCGGCCTACTTGAGCTCGCAGTGCAGTAAACCTCTGCTTTTTCCACCAAAAATGTCAAAAAATCAGACTCATGGCTGAGTTCCCTAACCACTTTAGCACAACTCGCTCCATGATTTGAGGCCAAGTCATTTCTCAGAGACACGGCGCCGTCGTCCCTTCACACATCCTGACAAAGTAGGTTAGCTTGATCACAGACTTCTTATAGCTTCTAAAAATAAGAAGGGATTAATTGTTAAAGGTCAGATCTGACATGATTCTTACCTGACTTTCTCTTCCGCAGCGATTGGCTCTCTCCCTGGGGAGACGGTGTGAAATTAAATCCTGCCTTGGAGAGTGGAGCTTGGGCGTCAGTACGATCGGGCGCGGAAGCTCCTCATCTCATTTCACATGATCAGCACTAAAGTGGGACAATATGATTAGCTAGACAATGGTCTGGATTCATCGGAACAGTATAGTGTTGGTGGGCAATTTCAAGGGGAAGCATCTTTTCTGCTGCAGCTTTATTAAAGGAAAAATCTACCTGTCTTTGTGACCAACAAAGAAAGAACTCAAGCACAGACCGGGAGATTTCTTCTTTTCGTAAGCTATTTATCATTTTGAATGTATAGGTCTTATCCTTACGGTTATTTTGGCTTTCTTTCTTCAATATTTCAGACTTCAAACAAAACTACAAACAGAATTCAGACCAACGTTGGTGTTTAGGTGTACAGTTCAGCAGGAGAAACGCTCTGTCCCTTACCTAAATCTGACTAGACCTTTATCTGTATGCCAACTGTCTACGGGTTTCTACTGTCCGTGAAGGGAATTTGTGGAGGGATTTCTACTTCCCTTAACAGTAGCATAGATGGTTTGAGTACAAGTCTCAACGCGCCTTCATTAACACCAAGTGGAGCTTGCCATATGCCTTCAGAGGTTGCTTAAGATATTATTTTCATACTATTTAACATTTTCTTGATGTTTGCTCCTGTCTGTTTTCCGTAGACAAGTTTATATATTTAGAACAGCAAAGGGGGGAATCTTTAACCAGAGTTGTTGGTTTTTTACAACCCTTCTCCTCCCTCGGTCTGGTGTCCTCAGCCCCCTTCCCCCTTCCCCCTCCCCCCCCCCCAGTTAACAGAAAAACATTTCCAGATGTACCAAGCAAAGAGCTCCCTGTGCAGTAGCTTAGTAATGGATTTCGTACACTCATGCTAAAGGTCACTTCCTCAGATTGTGGCTCCCCCCAATTGTCTCCCCTCTCTCCTTAGACAACAAACAGACTGAGACTGATGCCTTTACAGGACGAGGCGGAGGGCGGGTGGGAGAGCGCACACACACACATTGCCCTCGTGAATGTAAATTGACAGGCCGGTGTCAATGAGCCGGCATCTAATTTGGACAGCGGGAGAGCAGTGAATACTGCAGGACACTGGGCAGCGTCATAATCGTGTCTAGCACTGGCATATGCATCTGTCTCGGCCCCTCTGTGGCTGCTGGACGGCCGCCCGGAATAGTGCTGCGCTGCGCGGTTTTCTATTGGCTGCACCGTCCCGCCGTGCATGGCTGTACTGGGCGGGTTGAACCCTGGGGCTTTTTTTTTTTTTTTTTTTTCTATCTCCACTCTGACTCGATGCTCTTGTCCACTGTCTCATAGCATGGAGGCTTTTGCCATTCACCGCTTTGTATGCAATATGTTGGAGTGCCTTGTGGGCTTGTAGTCACTCCGTACAATGGCACACAGCAGTGATTGGGGGACTTCAACTCAAGTGGCTTCTGAATAACCTCACAACTGCCTTTTCTCCAGTTCATCAGCCCTGTACCCTTTAGAGCTAACACCCCTCTGGGGCAGCATGCATACAAATCAGCTTGACGTGCATACACAAACACTGTTAACGCCCGTTGAAGCCCATCAGATAAATAGCTGGCCGTCATATTTAGCAAGCCATTTTCTCCCTCTGAAAATAACCTCACCCTGTTTGTTTTGTGTGTCTCTCTTTCTACCTACCTCTGTCTGTTCTCCATTTCAGATCACTGACAGGAAGTGCCTTGTGAGACAACATCCCTACTTGAAGATCCCAGGGCGTTTCTGAAGAGCTTCAGATCTTTCCCTCTGCAGTCGCGACAGGACGTAGCTCAGCGGCAAACACCCCTGACCGGCTGGTTTGTCCTTACCTGTGCTCAGTGTGAATTCACCTCAAGTGAAGAGGTGAAGCTACTGCACTGCTGACCAAGGTGCCAAAGCTCAGAGAGAGTAGGTACTGAGGACCTTTAAACAACCGAAAGCCACAAACTTTGTGTCCTAAACTGTGCCATTGCACCTCAAAATAGCATCACTTTTGCTCCCCGCCATCCACCCTTGCACAGATAATCATCACTCATACAAAGGACATTTCGGGGACATTGGTACAACCAGTAAGGCTTGGCTCCGAGCATGCCCCCTCTGCCTTGTCAGAGGTCTGCACCTGAGACTTACTGATTGATGAACAATTAGCTGTTTGACTGACAAACTCCACGACAGCAGCGCAGTCCCATGCTCTGGTCACAGAGACTTTGCCAGTCCTTTACCTCTACTTTCAGATCATTTATAGCTGCATGTTCCCTCAGTTTTAGTTGTTGTGCGTTTTTCTTTTTTACTGGAAGACTCTGAAACAACTCCTCAGAGGATAGCCTCCTCCTTAAACCAAGTGGCTCCACTCCACCCCAGCTCCACAGCCAGCGCTGCTGACATGGCTCTAAACATTGCCTCGATACGGGACACAAAATGGCTGACCCTGGAAGTGTGCCGGCAGTTTCAGAGAGGGACTTGTTCGCGCAGTGACGAGGAATGCAAATTTGCCCACCCACCCAAAAGCTGCCAGGTGGAGAATGGGAGGGTGATCGCCTGTTTTGACTCGTTAAAGGTAAGGACTTTTAAATACAAGGTGTAAAACTGCTGTGTTCTGTTGGGATTTTAGGAATTTTTCTACTTTCATTCTGTCTTTTTTTTCTCCAGAGCACTAGATACAGACAGATAGAAAATTCTTTACCTATTTGGACCTTTTCTTTAGGTTAATTTGTTGTCATGAATGCGTGGCACACAGGGAACACTGCAGAAATCATAATGGCTTCTTCTCGTTAATTTATCTCTCTTTACACAACCTCGTGGAACTGTCAAAGCAGGTAAAGCAAATATGAATAATTGGATTACATCTCTGCAGTACCGATACAGCATCTGACGTAAAATGCTACAGCTTTGTGGTTCCTAATGGTCGGTGGGTGTAGGTTGTCTGCTCAAATTAGCATGTGTGTCAGGTCTCCATGCTGTGCTGCAGTTAGCAGACCAGCCTGACCTATGCAGCTAAAGGCCAGAGAGGTCTGTTGTCGTGTTCACTGTCACCACAAGTGTGTGTGTGTGTGTGTGTTTGGTTTTTTTATACGGTAAGTTCTTCTAATGTTACCATGCCCTGTCTATCATTTATACTTGTGAGCGAACATCTGATCGCCTTAAGTCATTCCAGGGCTTCTATTCCTGGGTGCATGTCAGCTGTTGCACACAACCAATAAACAACATAAACAGCCAGAGCTCTTTTTGTAATGTTTGGTTCTGACAGATCCAAGAAGGGCTATAGACATTGCATTTTCGTTATGTGGTTAGTAGTCTTTTTTGTCAAATTGAGATAGAATTTTGATTTTATTATGTTAGAATTGTTATTCCATGTTGAAGGATTTAGTTTAATTATTGACCCCCTTATCAAACATTATGTCACTGTTATGTTTTGCTATTTCGTAGTGGTAAAATTGTGGTAAACTAGCTTAACACCAGACACTTTGAAAGTCTCCCCAATTATAACGAGGTCGCTTCACACAAGCCCCCACATGCTGCAAATAAGATGACTGCATCCAAAAGTAGCCCAATATTTTCAAGCTGTGTGGAAAAGAAACAAAAAAAAAAGAAAACAGCTGTGACAATGATAAATAGCTAAAGAAACTAGAGCAGAACACTGGGGCTGTGAGGAGTTTGTGTTTTTGTGTGAACTGTAGCTGCATTTCATATACACAGCAATGCAGTGTGCGGGGAGGGCATGTCACATTGTTCAAGGTTGTGTTCAAGGTCAGCACAAGAGAGAGAGAGAGAGAGAGGAGATTCTTCTGATGTGGTGCATTTCGCTTCACCTGAAAACTGTGGTTTGCAAGCAGTTTCCGAAATGAACACCTGACTTTCCGTTTGGCTAGTAAATCTCGGAAGAAACACTGGCGTTTAAATGTACCAAAATAGCCATGTAGGAAAAAAATATGCTGAGTCTCTACCACGTTTTGGTGTCATTTACAGGCGTGCTACTTCTGTCCTCGTTCTCGAGCACTCCTAGTTTACTGTACAGCACATCAGCTACTCACTTGCTACTGGTCTGCTGCTTCATGGACCACGCAAAGAAGAGGTGTGGATTTGTCTCAAGAGAAGGTTTAAGTTAATTAAAATGATTAAGCATCCGAAAGGTTTACAAAACCTTAAAACTGACTTTTATGTTTGATCCCTAAGTACATTTAAAGGACCAGTATGTAGGGTTCAGTAGCATGTAGCGGTGAAGTTGCAGTGCAGCGCCATATCTAAAGCCAGTGTTTGGGTTTGTCCATTCTGGGCTATTGTAAAAAAAACATGGTGATTCATTAGGTTGCCTCCATAGAAGAGGACTCACTCCCTCTGTAGATACAGAAAGAGCCAAGGTAGCGAGAAACACACATTTTTATTTCCAGGTGATTGTACACTATTGACAACATACCATGAATTCATTATTTTGGCCTGTAAAAAATGTCCTTTCTCAGTGTATTTTTTCATCTACCACTCCCCTTGAGTCAAAAAGTTAATTTTGGACCCTATGTGCCCTCCTGAAATGCACAGCAAGCTTTCCACATTTCCAAATTTTTCATATACTATTCAAATACATCAAGATCTTCCGAGTGTGTAAAAGCCCTCTTCATTACAAGCTGCTCATGTCAATTATTTATTTGACACTGAAAACAAGCCGCCTTTACGGTGCTATCAGCTGTTTTCTTGGCTAAGACTTAGCTCATGGTAAGGCTCGCTGAGTTATTGCTCGCAGTCAGTCACTGAGTGACATTCCTTCCCAGCTGCCAGGTTGTGCGAGCTGTCATGCCGTTATGGTTTAATGAGGGAACAGCTGACAGCCAATCGGGATCGATTTGTCGCTGCACCATGCGAGGGAAGGCCTGACACGGATCCTTTGCACATGAAATGATTTTGCTGTTACTTGAAAACATAGACCAGTCATCCCTGACTGAGGAAACTAAATGACCGGAGCGCTCAACCTCATATTAGTGTCACCCCTCATTTAGACGATTCTCAATGACCTTTCCTCTACAAAGAATGGCTTTGAGGCAGTCCATTGGCAATTCATGCATTATCTGTACTTCACTGTACAGAATGATAGAAAAGCCTACACATGCAGCGTGCACTCAAGATGTCTCTCAGAGGCAGCTGTCAAGACTAGAAGAATTAGAGGTTACTTGTCCTGTAACCTCAGTTCTCCGATGACATGAACGAGGCATCTCACTATGAGGAGTGCTCTCTCATTATTACGCTCAAAAGCCTCTATATGAGTACTTTTGTCATTACTGGCAGTGCGGGCTACAGGTCTGCTCCATCCTTTTCATCCAACTCTTTGTATCTCTGGATCTCAGAGGGCAACGGGGTCATCTCCCTTGTCTGACACAAGGTGTTTTGACACTCCTTTGAAGGATTTGAAAAGAGGGTCCCTGCTAGCCTCCAGTGCATCACCATGGCAACTTGTCAGCTGTTGTCAGCCTCATCCGTCATCATCGTCCATTTCATCTCCTTAGCTGCCGCCGGACGTGTGGACGACTTGATGTAATATGTGGACATCAGGTCCTTGTGCGAAAGGCTGGCCTGGTGGGCTGTGGTGTTCAGTGGCAGGCAGCACACTCTTTTAAAGTGCACGGTGTATAGTAGACGTTTCTCCATTTCCTTCTTAAGCCAGGCACCTAGCTTAGCAGTGTGCCTTGATGTGAAGTGTCATGGCTTCCAGTCGGTACAGGATCGGATACGGATATAGAGGCTTTTGAGGATATTGCTCCTGCATGGCTCTTTTTTTGTTCTAATATCCTGTACGTCACACAAGCATCCTAGGAACACGGGAATATGTGTTACATCTACCGTCTGGGCTCCATGGCTGTGTCCCTACCTCTATTATAATGTTGTTAATCTAGGAATTTTGCTGCTGTCATTTTAGGCTGCTCTGGGAAAGCCCATCAGCTAAAAGCCTAGTGCAACTAAATAGATAAATGTACAGGCAGCTCTATCTCTAATTGCAGCCACTCTTTCTCTTTCTCTCTCGCTCTCCCCCTCTTTTCACCATACAACCCAGTGACAGAACGAGAATACAGGATTCTCTGTACTTTTTAACTCCGACTCGCCCCCTCTCTCCCAAAGACTTTCCTCGTGACAGCTAAGAGAATGAATGCTTTATTATGCATTAGGAAATGTGTTTCGCTCCACGGCAGGCTAAATTTCCACCCCATTACGCCCGTATCGTCTTGCTGGGTCTTCTCATCCGATAGGGTTATCATGCCAGGGGGGTGTGCTGCCAGGCGTGACTTGGCCGATGATCAGAAGGGTCCTTTTCATAAACACATGAAAGGTACGGCTCAGGAGAGGAGTAGAGTAGGAGGTGTAACTCTGTTGTTGCACTTGTCAGGCAGCGGTATGCAAGCATGCCAACTCAGTGGAGAATTTGACTGCTCTGGTTCTTGTTTTCAGAGTTGGTAAAAAGTGTCTCCTTCGCAGTGAACGCCCCTAAATTTCCACTCAAAATTTGCAGCCTATTCACAAATAAAAGAATTTGTTTTCTTTGCACCAAGGGTTATTTTAGATGTATTTTGACATCATTTGGCCTTGAATTTACTCGATGTTTGGGCTGCGCCACATTTGAAAAACGTTCTTTCAGATGATAATAAGTAAATTATTGGTGTGTGTGACTGGCAAGCTCTCGGCAATCACCTTCTGCAACGCAGCTTTTGAAAGGTATTATTAATTTTAAACACAGTGCAGTGGGAATAGTCAGATAGGTTGCTGTCACTGCTTGTGGCAAGAAATAGAGAAAAGTACCTGATGTATTTTTGCTGGGTATAAATTACATTTGATAACATAATTCAGTTATTGCTCCTGTGTGTGTGTGCGTGTGTGTGCGCGCGCCCATCCACCCTTATCGATGAGCCCTGGAGAACAACCGGGCCTTTCAGATTTCTGATCAGGCAGTGAGGTCACCAGACCAGGGGCAGGGGCTGATACATGCAAAGGATAGGGACGGGTGTAGCGGGGGTTTGGGAGCATCAACGGTGGCCACTAACACAAGTTCCATTCATCTGAGGCAGAGGAACGACCTGGGAAAACAACAGCAAGATCAAATCAAATCAAATCCAAGTTTATTTGTAATATGCCGCTTTACATATAGCTCCGAAGGTACCCAAGTGTTTACAAAGCAAAGGCATAAAACAATTACAATAACACATACATAACATACAGATAACAATTAAAAGTGCTGTAGTGGTGCAGGCGCTGCATGGGCATTTAAAAGTCCTTCCCAGAATATGGCCTAGAGTGTTAGCAGAACAGAAGGAAGGTACACCGCTAAGAAAGAGTATGAGACTGCCCTCCCCATGAATTGAATGCTAATTTAAAAATCATTTAAAATAAATTAAAAAATTTAAAAAAAGATCTTTTGCATTTTCTGTTAGTGAGCTTTGCATGGGACGAGTGACGATGAGGAATCATCCTTCCTGCTGGGTTTGCTCCTGCTCTCTCAGTCATAAAGCTTGCAGCGTCCCGACTCCACTCCGCTGCTCTCAGCATTTCTAGTGTAATGTCTAGGGGACTATTTTTTGTCCT